AAAGGTTAGGTAAATATTATTTATTAAAGGAACTATCTTAAGATACTTATTATTTATACCTTAATAAAGTTAGCTTCTATTATTAGAGAAAAAAAGTTATATAATCTTACCTTTATAGGTTATTAGCCTTAATAATTAGATATAAAGGTCCCTTAAAGAGCTCCTTTATAATTAAAATACCTTTACAAAAATAAAAGTATCTAATAAGAATTAATTATTATAATAATTATAAAACTAAATTTAATATTAATCTTTTTTAATATTAATTATTTAATAAAATTAATATTAAATAATAACTTTAGTAAAGATATTAATATTATAAAGATTAATTAATAATAAAATCTGTAATAATAAAAGCGCTATTAAAAATATAAAAAATATAATTATAAAGGGTAATAAAAAATGTAATAGATAAGGAAAGTATTTAAAAGATTAATTAAAACTAAAAAATAAAATTCGTTAAATACAAGTTTATTAAATGAAGTTAAATAAAAAATTATAAAGAGCTAAAGATACATATATTTTTTATTATAGTGTTATAGTTAAATTATTCTTTTTAAATAATTAAAGTACTTCTAAAAATATAATACTATTAATCTCTTTTTAATAATATTATTTTTAAATACGAGTATAAAAAGGTTTCAAATAATTTAAAAAAAATAATAAAAGTTAATTATTACTAAAGACTAGTAATTTTATTTTAAGTCTATATTAATATATTTTAATAATTAAACAATTATTAGAAAAGCTAATTAAATTAGGAATTATTTTAAGAATTATAATAATATATTATTAAGCTTTAGAACCTCTTTATTTATATTAATATAACTAATAAAGAAACTTAAATTAGAAATTACTTTTATTAAACTATTATAAGTAAATCTTTTTAATAAAATTATAAAAGCTAAATATATTATAATTTAAAAAAAAATTCTTTTAAAACTTTAAAATATTAAATTAATTATTAAAATAATTTTTTAAGTAATTTCTAATAAGGTTATATATTAATATAAAATATATAAATAAAAAATAATATTATCATAAATATTATGAAATATAATTAAGAGCATTTATTAGAGAATTATCGTTAAAAATAATTGAGACCTTAAAAAAATTGAAAATTCTTAAAAAAATCTAAATATAGGTCTTATAAGGTATAATTAATAATATTGAAGTTATACTAATAAGTTATAAGGGTTGTATTTAAATAAATAAATAGGTTTGTTAAAGAAACTTAATTGATTAAGTCTTATATAAGATACTATAAATAAAAGATTTAATAATATAATCTTTAATTCTTTATAAATAATTCTATGTTTAAGAAATAAAGCTATTATATTAATAATTATAATATATTATATTAATAATTATAATATAAAATATGATCTTTTTTTAGATTATAGATAATTATATAATATCTAGTAAAAAAGTTTTTTTTATACCTTTAGGCTAAGCTATAAAAGAAGAATTATATTATATGTTTTATATTTATTAGAAAATCTAATTATAAGCTCTATATTAATAATTATTAAATAAAGTCTTTTATTAAATAGTTAACTATTAAAGTAGATTAATTATAAATTAGTTCTTAAATAATATAAAGATTAATATCTAGATCTTAATAAGCTTAATTATTAATAAATTAAGGAAGGTTAAAATCTTTAAATTAGTAATCTTTATTTTATAAGTGATTGGTAGACTGGGATCACATGATATGTTGACTCGGTGATCACGTGACCAGTCACGTGGGGGCTGGTAGGATCTGCGGCGCAGCTCCCACCCCTTGCGCAGGTGGTTTGACTGCGCTCCCGTAGGGGGAGGGAAAACAAAAATTTTCTTTGCCGGCTTGTAGAGGGATATGGGTCTTCCCAACCAACAAGGGAGGGGTAGTTTGGTATAAAAATTGAGTATGTTGTAGAGCTTGATGAGCGGAGCAAATTGGTGTCGAAATCGGGTTCGAATACCCCCAAATTGGGGGGGCGTGTTGGGAGCGCGAGAGTTTTTTTTAATTAATCTTTTAGTAGTTAAAAGCCTTAATTTCTTTAAGTATACCTATAGGCTCCTATATTAGCTTATTATATTCAACTTATTTAATAATATATTTATAGTAGCCTTAAGTCTCTACTTGATCTATATATATTTATTTTCCATTTAATACCTTTTTCCCTAACAGGAGCTTAATTAATATCTAGGTCTAGTTTTCTAATAATAATTTAAGTTCCTTTTTTTATTACTTTTAACTACTTCTTTTAGTTTAGATCCTTTTATATTTCCTTAAGTCATAGGCTTAAATAAGTTTAATTATTATAGTTATGAACTAGAAGAGGGTTTATAAAGTTATTATCCTCTAGACTACCTATAGGTACTATTAGTAAATTTAGTTAGTGGTAGTCTACTGTTGTGTGGTAGAACATTATGTATAAGGAGTCAAAGAAGATTAATTAAGAAACTATCCATATAAGAGTTCAGTAGCCTATTTATACTAGTCTTAGCATCTATTAAAAAAATATTTCCTTTTTCTATTCCTACCTCCTACTTCTATTATATAATCCTTATTATATAACCTTTTAATTAGTATATTAGTAACTAGCTAACTCTATCTACTTTATTACTCCTATTTAAATAATTAGTAAGATACTACTTATAAACTCTTATTATATTAATACTCTATATTATCTTATTCCTACTTAATCTACAATTACTTTCTAATTAGGTAGATATAACTTTTAGTTCTTAGGTCTCTTATACCTTAGAAAGGTATATCTTTAAATAATATTATCTCCTAGATCTAAGATAGGGAGTACTTAAGGTATTAATCTTACCTTATTTAATTTATGTCTTAATTATATTATAGTCTTCTTGATTATTTTCTTTTTTTATATATTTAATGAATTTTTATTATATATTAAAAATAATCTTTACTTACTCCTATTTATTATTAATAATTACTAAATAACGTAATCAGACACCGAGCTGCCACGGACACTGAGCTGCCACGTCATCCACCACTACCCCCTAATCAAATTCAATGTGATTTGTTTTTAATGCACCATGCCATGGCTGATATATCAAAGGAAGGGCATATGCAATTAGCAATTGAGGCCTATAAGAAAGATCTATTCTCATCAAAAAAGGCAGCTGCAGATGTGTTTGATGTGCCTCAAAGGACCCTTAAGATATGCCTTAATGGGACTACTTCTCATAAAGATTCAATAGCAAATTGTCAAAAATTGACAGATACTAAAGAAATTATACTTTTAAAATAGATTCTTGATATAGACCAATATGGCCTACCTCTGCAAATTTCAACCATATACTATCTGGCACAGCTATTGCTCTGCATAATTATCCTCAGATGCTACTGCCACCATTGGTAAGAAATGGGTGAACTGATTCATTAAGTGCCATAATGAGCTTTGCTCTAAATATACCTGAAAGTATGATTATCAATGAGCAAAATGTGAAGATCCAGAGCTCATTAAGGGGTAGTTTAAGCAGTTTTATGATACTATTTAAAAGTATGGGATCCTTGAGCAAGATATCTACAACATGGACAAGACTGGCTTCTAAATAGGTGTGATTTCAACTGCCAAAGTTATCTGTGGATCAGAAACATAAGAGAGTCATGCAAAAGCTATACAGCCTGGGAATCATAAATGGGTTACTGCAATTGTTGCAGTAAATGTAGCTGGATAGGCCTTACCTCTATATATTTTTCTTGTGGCAGAGAATTATCAATCTTAATAATATCAAGCTATCCCAAAGGACTACTGAATTAGTGTCAGCAAGAATGGCTGGACAAATAATGAGATAGGCCTTGAATAGCTTCAGAAGACCTTTGAGACCTATACAGCTTCATACACAGTTGGGAGATATCACCTATTGATTCTAGATGGGCATAGCAGCCATGCTACTGCAGGATTTGATAAATTCTGTATAGAGAAGAATATTATTCCTCTTTTTATGCTATTACATTCTTTTTACCTGCTCTAACTGCTTGATGTCAGCTGCTTCTTGCCATTAAAGTGCCTGTATGGCCAGAAAATTAGGGAGATGATACAGAAAGGAATCCATACCATTGACAAGGAAGATTTTCTATATATCTATCCTATAGTCCATCAACAAGCTTTATCAGCATCAAAT